GACATCCCCCCTCAACACTATGAGTCAGAGGCACAATGTATATTTTTTTGAAAGTCAAAATACCTTTTTACTCTACATGATGATAAACTGCTGTTTCCTGTACATTCTATCAACCTATACTGTCCTCCACTAGCAGTTAGTGGCTGAATCGAGACATCAGTTGTCTGTGATGGCATTAAGTTGTCCTCAGAATGCTGGTCTCCTGAAGTAAGTAAGTAAATATAAAAACAAATAAATAACATTTCCAATGAATGCTTACTGGATTTGGAATAAAATCATAATTTTTACCAAAACAACAAAAATGTATAATTGTCACTTATTGGTCTAGCTGGTATCACCAATTATTTCTCACATAAAATCTGAGTTTATAATACAAATTACAAAATTAGCAACCAATAGTCCGGGAGCCAAGGCAAAAAATAAGGGCGAAAAAAAAAAAATTAATGATATAAAATTTTCAAACACATGGTCGGAGAGCCTGATATCTGGGGTTTATGAATCTGCTTATTGGACAAATGGGCTCAATTGCGAAAGTGCCCAAAAATCCAAGATGGCCGCCACCCCTAAGGAATATGCAGTAAATGGATAAATTATGAAAAATGGTTGATATTTTCATTTAGTTTCAGGGTAGATATTTTTATTGTCCATATATTGTGGAAATGTGTACTATCTGGTGATCTGTAGCAGAAATTGGTCAATTGGATTCAAAATGGCCGTTCTATCCAAGATGGCGGCCAATATTTCAACATTTTTTGCAATTAAATCCTCTTTTCATTGATCTAGAATTTCTTTCAATCATGATATGAGCAAACATTTATCAAATAAAGGATGCCTCTACTATTTTCTGCATTTGTACCATCTATGTGTAATATAGAGGCTTTGTGAATACAAAAAAATCCAATATGGCCGCCATGCACCCTTTACCATTATGAGTCAAGGGCACTACCTGTCTTTTATAGAAAAGTTCAAATATCTACTCTAATTAAGCAAATGCTATTTCTATTTAACAATTTTTGGGTGAAGGGGAATTGCTTCAGTATTTTAGAGGTAAATTCAAAGAACTATTTCAATCCAAGATGGCAACTTTATCCAAGATGGTGGCCAAATTTTCACAAGTTTTTGCAACGAAGTCATGGTTTCTGTAATCTAGAACTACTTTCAATCATAGAAAAAGCTAAATTTTATCAAATATAGAATTTCTCCAATACTGTGTGCATTTTTTCTATCTGAATGCATCATTAAAGTTAGATGACTAGAGAAAAATCTAATATGACTGCCATACACCCCTTACCAATATGAGTCAAAGGCGAAACATATCATACCAAAAGTTGGTATATCTCATTCAATGAAGTATATTATACTTTCATTTTTAATCATTTGGTTACTTTCATTTTAAAACATTTGGTAAAGTACACTTGTTTTTATTTTATGAAGTTTAATTATACACTACCTATTAATCCAATATGGCCACTCTATCCAATATGGCAGCCAAAATTTGACCAATTTTGCAATTTAATCCCTTTTCTTTTTGTCAGAATTTTTTTCAATCTTCTAGAAGCAAAATTTCATCAAACATAGATGCTCTACCCTAACTTCCTGCATTTTTACTATCTTTATACAGAAAGAAAGCTTTATGCTTATAGAAATACCCAAAATGGCCACCATAAATCCCTTATCATTACCCTCATGTGAAACAAAGTGACGTATCTCATAAAAAGTTGAAATATCTCCTTTGATGAAGTACATTTCATTTTTATTTTACAATATATGGGTATATGAGAATTTTTTCACTTTTTGCAGATAAATTTAAGATGGCATGTTTATTCACAGTAAATTATTTACAAGTTTCTTCACATTCATATGCATGTTCTTGGACCATTGTATTTTTAGCCTAACAACTATGTTGTCAAATTACATGTCTAGAATAACATCATTATCTATTTATTTGTTTATCAAAAAGAAGCTCAAAGGTTTTGTACAATAATAATTCCAATTCCATGCAAATTTCACTTCATGGAATCAAAGCTAAACTCATATTTTATTGAAACTTCAAACAACATTTATTTAACTATGCAATAGATACTTGTTTCATTTATTACATTGGTGTTTTAGTTACCTCCGCCAAGGAGGTTATGTTTTTACCCCTGCTTGTTTGTTTTTTGTTTATTTGTCATCAACATGACTCAGAAAGTTATGGATGAATTTCGATAGAATTTTCAGGGTAGGTCAGAAATGGGTTAACTTAGAAGTGACCTGGATCAATAATCAATCAATAAACAAAAATAAAAAAATCAAGTTATGGACCAATTTTGATGAAATATTCAGAAGCTGCCAGAAGTGGACCAAGGAACAGATTATTAGTTTTTGGTGGTGATCCAGATCAATAATCAATCAATAATAAAAAAACTAAATCATTATAGAATGAAAATTTAGGGGTGAAACAGCATTGGGTGGAGACTTTGCTGCCTTGACAGAGGTCTGCGCTCTCGAGGTGCTTTTCTAGTTGCAATTTATTTTTGGGAATACAGATGGTGGCCACAACTATGCATTTTGCTGTTTAGCAGTTTATAATGCCCCACATCATTAAGTCATCATTAATTTTATTGCTGCTGATTTGCAGAATATTGCAGCAAATTGGAAAGAAGGAATTGCAATTTGCAGAAGATTTGCAGCAATAAAGCAGTAAATTTGCAACTGACCTGATATTTTGGTAAGGGTAAAGCTCATAAGGCATAGAAATGAAGAGCATCCTCAGTTGGGAGGAGAAACCTAAGATCTGCTTTGCAAGAAGCAAATATGCAGGGCCTTTGGTCATATCTTAACACCCAAAAATCCATATAGCTGTACAAAAATCATGCGCGCCTCTTCCATAGTACCATGTAACTGTAAGGTGGTGACATTCTTCTCCATGCTGGAAAAGACTACAAAATGCCAAGCATTTGCACTTCCCATGCTTATAAGGAGAGTTAAAGAAACTACGCCCGGTAAGCTCATAAACTGTACTCAAACCACATCCATGTGGACCATAAGTGCTTTATGTAAGACAAAGAACAATGTGTGAATTGGAAGAAACCTTCCAATTTTTGCAACCTGCAGTGAACTATGTGTATGGCTAGTTTCTGAGGAATATACCCATGACCTCTTTACCGATATGCTTAATGAAATACCCAAGTACTAAATGCTCCAATTCTCCAATCCACTGTAACACCATGTTTCCTCAGGAGGAATCTTAGACGCGTCGGATCCTTTAGTTTCCACTCTCCTTTGGGAAAAGAAAATATGATCACCAAGCACAGAAAGATTTTTCACCCATTGGGCAATGAACTAAAGGAACCATAACATAAGGTACTCGATAAGCATTATTTTGACGTGGATCTTGTCCCTGTATCTACTTTGCTGATTTGAGCTGGTGAAACCTGTGGAAAATATTGTATCCTTCCAAGGCAGCAGGGTGGTGAAGGATACATAATGTTAAGAGATGGATACACACATGACCACAGATTGTCCTTGGTTCTTATTCCATGACCATGGAAGAAGTATTGATCAATGTAGTGTCCCTACAGTCATAAGATTATATATGTGTGCATTTTTTCCATCTAACGAAGAAGATTAGATACAATTATAACGTCAGAAAATACAATAGAGGGAGTGTGATAATGATAGGGTCGCTAAACGAATTTGACGGAATATAGTGACTAGCCTAATCCTCTTGTCGCCTGGTTAGACCCGCCCCCTTAGAGTACTTATGTAAACAAAAGGTCTTCCCTAGAGAACTACCCTTTTGTTCAACAGCTTCGCGCGTGCAGCGGATTATGTATATAGTGACGCTATACAGCTAAATGCAGTTAAATCTGTAAAAGCTGTTATTTTATTTATTCTGCTGTGTCGGACGTTGTGGGCCAGCCCAATGGTTCATTCACTCATTCTTTTCTGAAGATTGGTGATGCATATTTTGAATGCTTAATTATTTGCCCTCCTTCTAACAAGAGAAAGTAAAAGGGGAGAGAAACAGAGACAGTGTCAGATAAAAAGGGTAAAGAGTAATATAACATGCTGTACAATGACTGAGTCGTGAAAGGGGTATTGGACTTCTTTGCGTTAAAAACGAANGTTGTGACTTAGAATCTCCACAGGCTTGAAGACCTATGCTAGTCACATTTTCTAAAAATCCATGATACGTGTATTTTATTATTAAAAACTGATGGTCTTTATGCTGTTAGGCATTATGTAATGTTGCATCAAAATAGAAGAAAACGCAATTTTGGGTGCTGCTGCCATGATGACCATTATGGGTAAACCATGTTACTTATGATTGTCAAACTTTCAAAAAAGAAACACAGCCGAGTTGGAAAAGCAGTCTAATTTGCTTCTTTTTCTTGTAGTTATACATTTTAGTGAAATATTTATTTTTATCGTGTTGCCATTCATTGTGGGACTCAGAGCTCCCATGGACATAAAGCCGAATGGTAACCAAATTTTCTACATGTCCATGCTATTTATAGTCAATAATCAAAAATTGGTGATAATTATTCTGCAATTTATTATGTAATGTTACATCAAAATTGAAAAAAATGCACTGCTACTGCAAACATTATGAAAAGAAACTGTGTTACTTATTATTATTATTTTTAACTTACAAGTTTGATTTTTAGGATTGCCATGCAGTTCAAATTAGAAAGCCAGCTCAATTGGGTTATCATTTATTATTGAATTGATGCAATTTTGTGTAAAATTTTCATTTTTCTCATTCTGGCACTTTCAAAGTGTGAACTCTCATGGGCCTGAAGCCTTATGTTTGTTTCACATTTTATTTGCATTGGTGTTACCTGTTGAGCATAATAAAAATTTGATGTTGAATTTGCAGTTAAGCATAATGTACTTTTGTATCAGAATTGACAGTAGCCTATTTTGTGCATTGTTATTTTCAGCTTTTTGTCTGTAAATTTGACAGCTTTGCTGCTTTGCTTCTCTTTATCTTTTGATACCCCTAAAATGTTATGTTGCTATTGAAGGCTAAATACTTTTTGTTGGAATTTTGTAGATTGTGAGAACTTATGCTAAGGAATCACTCCTCATGGAGATGTTAGATCTGGCAAAGAAGTTTCAATTCTTGACTTGTGAGTACAGTGAGAGTGAAAACAAGGAGTCCTATGATGTCAGCCTTTTGTTGGATGGGTTTGAGACAGAGTGGAAGATGCATAAAGATTCTCCTAAAAAGGTAGGTTTATTATTGCTTATATTTTCCAGTATTGTGGAACAAAGGTATCCCATATAGGCATAAAGGGCCTGTAGTGTGATGATTTTGGTAGATTAGTGTGAAAATATCAAAATTTGTTTCTTAGATAATGATAGAGAGAGCTATAATAATAGATAATGATAAAGAGAGAGTGATAGTAAATAAGTCTGAAAAAGACCCTTTTGCGTTTTAGGTGATAAAGTATGTGAAATTGCTGAAAAATGAAACAGAACATGTAACATATGCCCTGAGGCCAAAAATGACAGAGGGACTTGATGTGTTTGATTGCAAGATACACATAAAGCAGGAGGTATCTGAGGATCAGGAAGAGGACATCAAAGTGCTGACATCCACAGAGTTTGACATCCACTGGATGTTACCAGTAAGTAGACAGGGAATTGGGTTACTGTGAAGTGAGGAGACATTATCATATTTTCAGTGTGATATTGTCTTTGTATGATATCATAGTAATTAAAACATTATATTATTGTTGCATCTGTTTGCAATAATCAACCCCAAGTTTCAGCATAGTAACTATAACATTATACTATTGTTGCATCTATTGGCGAGAATCAACCCCAAGCTTCAGCATCATTTAGGATCTAGATTAGTAATGACTAAAATGCAATGTCTGTAACTGTCTTGTTTCTTGTCCACAAATTTAAAGGGACAAGAGCTCTCCATATGAAATCAATATTGCACAAAAAATACATTGTAAACTGCTCATACAAATATAATATCATTCCATTTTACCACAAAAACGGCAGCTTTAACAATAAATCTGAAATCTGTGCTTGCCATCTGACCATTTGACCTCCATAATAGACCGGTGGCTTAGGGCAAAAAAAAAAGACAAATCGTTACATGGTGGATACAAGCACCAAATTTTGCATGTAGGTACATTTTGACATACTAAATCAAATTAGAGCCGTAGCCCACGGAAAAAATTACCGTTTTGCCAAAAAATCCAAAATGACCGCAAATTTGTGAAATTCTGTAGAAATATATACAAGTACATACCTATGTTGATTTTTATCAAATGAAGTATTTTCTCAATGTTTTCCACACCCTTATTACCCATATAATGCATATATGTCAGATGACAAACGAGTGTCCTTGGACTTTTTGACATATCCAAGATGGCCGCCGTATGGCATAGGAATACTAAAAACATGTACAAAGGTTTTCAACTAATACCAACTAGGAAGACGCATTGCCCACTATCTATTAAATTGTGTTTCTGAGTGCTTTATTACAGGAACAAAACAAAACAAAATGGCTGCTATTGGCCATAGAAGGTGGGGTTCAGTTAATACCTGCGAGAGATGGGCTTCCATATAAAATGAAGCTAAATTCAGTTGTTTTTCTGTTATTATTATTATTATTATTATTATTATTATTATGATTATTATTATTATTATCCCATGAGACATATGATAGGTAATTAATGTCCATATATTTGATCATTTTGGGGAAATTCAAGATGGATTGGATTTTATAGGCACTTCTAAGGCAAATGAGGGTAATCATGATATTTGTCAAAATAATTAGGGGTACACACTTGTTACCCACCAGATAGATATCTCAATGTCACATTTTGGTATTTTTAATGTGTGAATTTCAACTACAAACAGCCTGAAGCCATTTACTAACTACCTTTTCTGAATGCCTATATACAAAGAGATACATAGAGATATTATTATAATTGCTGGTTTTTATGTTGATCATCATAGTCATCGCCAATTGACTGAAGACTTATGATGCCAATATATTTATTTATTCTATTATTTGTTCTTACAGCACCTGTTTAAAACATCCAGAGAAACCTCTGACTTGGGTGAGTCCAGCCTTATGGGTGGCAAGTCCCTTGTTAAGAATATACAGAAGAAAAGGAAATACATCGATGACGACGATGATGATGATGATGATGACAGCAGTTTCCATCATGGCAACCCTTCAACATCAAAACAAATCAAGTTGACACCAAGCAATACATCCCCTGCTAAAAGAAAAAATGCTACATCAACTAAAAAATGGAAGACTTCAGATGATGAAGATGTACGTTCCTTTGAGCTACATGTATTCCTAGGGACTTTTCTCAAAATAATTAAAGATTTCCTTAAAACATTTTTTCACAATCTGATGATTTCATATTTTACAAATGAAATCGGTGGGTTCCATGAATATTGAGAACCTATAATTTGTGCACTTCTATCACCAACAATATTCAAGGAAAGCTGTGTTAGCTATTTTTTCTCTTATAAATAATAATATTGCACCGAACTATGTACATCAATATTTTCAGCTTTTTGTCTGTTCGTTTGACAGTGTTGCAGTTTTGTTTGTCTTTAACTCGTGTTCTTCTTCTTTTTTCTGTATTTATTATTGTTTATTATTAATACCATTATTTCAGGACCAACTAAGATGGGGGCCAGTCTCTGACCAGGAACGGGAGAAGCAAGGTGACGCCAACTACCAAACAAGTGGCAATTTAGTTCACGAATCCCCACCTTTACCAGTCACTGACCACCGCCTGGAGGAACAACGTGGCGTCCACTTTCAAGCAAGGAGGAAATCAGGCCATGACCCTGTGGCTACTGGGGATCAAGACCAGGGTGTCACCAGAACAATGGAAAACCAAGCTCTTAACCAGGCCCATGGGGATAATCAGTTAGTAAGGTTACCTGCGGCAGTGACACATGAGATTGCTGGAGTTCTAAGACAGATCCCTGCTAATTCAGGCAACACCAATGTTACCCTCAATTTGCAGCTGGTTAACCAATATTATAACTCAGAAAAGGCATCAATGACACACATGAAAGAGAACGATGTGACAACATCTTTTCATAAACATATTCCTCCACGTTTGAAAAAACGACTGAATGAGACACTTTCTCAAGATGATGTATGGGACCAAGTAAAGAAGATGTATGGCATTTCAGATGAAGCCCCACGTCCTCCCGATATTGTGTCTTCTTTGTTGTCTCAAGTTAAGGGTTCCATTGCATCTTTCATCATTGTTTTGTTAAAGTTAAAAGAACGCCACAGAGAAGGACAGCAAGACATTCCACAAGATTTGATTGATGAAGTCAAGGTAACTGTCAGTTTGGTCAAATGAAAGTATTAGTTTTTTTTTTTCAAATTTTACACACAAGCATACAGTATGATATAACGTTTTGGCTTCAGAGATTTTATATTTTGCAAACATCTGTAGTATTTGCTCCTCAGCAAATCTATATCTTCAAAATCCAAGTGAAATATCATTAGAAGGTATAAAAAAAGAAAACTTAATCTATATGTTGCATATTATATTTTTTATATATTTTTAAATAATTAAAAAATTAAAAAATGCAAAGATCTGCTTGCTTCCAGCAGGGCGCTCTTTCAAAATTAAAGTTTATGATAAGCACATGTCTACACAAACTACTTACTTGACTTCTTATATTTCTTTCCTAGGATGGGCTTAAGAGTGAAATGGAGTATAAGAAACTTAAACAGAATAAGATTCACTTTGCTGAGGAACTTTATATTGATATTGGAAGTATTTTAGATTACTGTAATCAAGATGACATGGTACCAGATGAAGAGATTACAGTGCTTAAAAATACTGCCAAGGAAAATCCAAGAGATGCCTGTAGAAAGCTGTTTGAAAGACTAATTGCAAGTAACCCTGAAAAACAACCAATCAAATATTTGAAAGATGTCCTCAGAAAGTGCCAACATTGGCATCTGGCAGATGAACTAGAAGTTAGCCACCAGGATGTAGAGGATGAATTACAGAAATATGAAGTCGGAGGATATCCGGCTACTTGTGAAGAGCCGTCGGCGATAGGAATTTAAGCTCTCCCACACCTGTTACAGGTGAAAACCGTATTGAAGAACATTAAAACTACATGTGTACAATGTTTGACAGTATGATTTTTATGCTTTTTGGGTCACCGTTGACTATGAACCTATGGTGTTTTTCCACCATATTACTTGCATGCTTTAGATATTGTTATCACATAAAATAAAGTGACTTTCTATTTCCAGTGATATTGAACAAACTTGTGAAAAGCCGTTGGCGTTAGGAATTTAAGCTCCATCCACACCCTATTGGAGCACATTAAAACTACTTGAGTACAGTGTTTGACAGTATGTGTCAAGATTTTTTTATCCTACTTGGGTCACCGTGGACAAAGAACCTATGGTGTATATCCACCATATTACTTGCATGCTTTAGATATTGTCATCAGATAAATAAAGTGACTTCTGTTTTTAGTGATTTTGAGCAAACTTGCTGAAAATCTACAATGGGACAGTCCATGATGCAATATAGATATTTCCCACATTTCATACTAAGAGCATTATTTGTGTTGTGATACTCATCTCTACTAAAACACATAATACCATGTGTAGAGGTGTCCTCGAAGAAGTATCTGCTGCTGTTTACCATCATCAGAGCCAGTGTAGACATTCCAGTACTTGTAAATATTTAGCTGACAATAATGACACATACTTAATTAAGACAATCCAGTAGTTGTAAAGTACTTGTATATATTTAGCTGAAAATAATGCCATATACTCATTAAGACAATCTAGTAGTTGTAAAGTACTTGTATATATTTAGCTGAAAATAATGCCATATACTTATTAAGACAATCTAGTAGTTGTAAAGTACTTGTATATATTTAGCTGAAAATAATGTCATATACTTATTAAGACAATCTAGTAGTTGCCTACTACAAGCTGTAGGGGGTAATTAACTTTCGTGCCAGCTCGGCTGACAGCTATTTAGCGTGAACCCACAGGGAGTTAGGTAGATCTAGTTTGGATCGATCTAATCTCTGGGAATGGGGTCTAAGACAGTGCTCTAGTACTTGTTAAGTAGTTGTAAATATTGATTTGAAAATACTGACAGTACTTACGGCTCCCTAGTAATTGCAGAAAGCTTTTAGTAAATATTTAGCTGAAAATACTGATAATACTTATTGAGAGCTTCTAGTAAATATTTAGCTGAAAATACTGATAATACTTATTGAGAGCTTCTAGTAAATATTTAGTTGAAAATACTGATAATACTTATTGAGAGCTTCTAGTAAAATTTAGCTGAAAATACCAACAATACTTAAATAAGACACTCCTGTAAAGTACTTGTAAAGTACCAGTAAATATTGGATTGTAAAATACTGACAACAGATAGTAAAATATATATATACCTCTCTAAATAACTGATTTAATCTGGGTAAATAGTCCAGTTATTACATTAATCACCTTCACATTCATATCTTTTGACATGCGTGCTTATTTCAATATATAAATAGTACACCAGTGTATGTCTCCTTTTCCTTTTTATGTACAGACACTGTCTGGATATTTAGGCATCACCTGCATTTGCTACTGTCTTTAGTGTTGCCTTGCTGCACTTTCTTCATTTACATTATAAATACACGGGGAATTCAAAGTTCCTTCAGATGTTAGTGCAGATTGAATTTAACCACAGTGAAAAGAATTGTGAGCTGTTTGTTAATTATCTGAAGTATCACAACAAGGTCAATTTGAAAACAACGAACTGAAAAACTGACAAAACTGAAATGAATATCCATCTTTCAAAAACTTATATTTGTGGGTTATCATTGTACCACCAGCGTAGGCGCTGGCGGTACACATGGTTTTAGTCCCGACCCGTATGTTCTGCCGGCTCCTGCGGCTCCGCTGGCTCCTGCGGCTCCGCCGGCCACTGCGGCTCAGCTGCCAAGTCACCGTTACCGCTTCTCCTCCTAGACTACTAGGGCCTGCGTACCCATCTCTTGGATTTAGGTCACCTATAATCTCAACTCGTTCCACGTAAAATTTGGGCTTTGTCGGTATTGGGGTCTAGGTGTGGCACTCATTGCAATGCACCCTTGTCCAAAAATGGCAAAATTAAATGCTAATTATCTACCCTACGGAAGGAATTATGGGAAAAATTTCTACAGACGGCTTTCAAAAAGTCATATGTGTAGATTTCAAATATGCCCTTGGATTTGACCTTTGACCTTTATTTCAAGGTCAAACGGGC